AGGGAAGACCCCCTCAATTATAGACCTGTATCATTGACAAGTGTAATAGTGAAAGTATTGGAAAAACTAATCAAAACTAAATGGGTAGAACACCTAGAGAGAAATGATATAATATCAGACAGACAGTATGGTTTTCGATCTGGAAGATCCTGTGTATCGAATTTACTCAGTTTCTATGATCGAGCCACAGAGATATTACAGGAAAGAGATGGTTGGGTTGACTGCATCTATCTGGACCTAAAAAAGGCTTTCGACAGAGTTCCACATAAGAGGTTGTTCTGGAAACTGGAAAATATTGGAGGGGTGACAGGTAAGCTTCTATCATGGATGAAAAATTTTCTGACTGATAGAAAAATGAGGGCAGTAATCAGAGGCAATGTATCAGAATGGAGAAATGTCACAAGTGGAGTACCACAGGGTTCAGTTCTTGCACCAGTGATGTTTATTGTGTACATAAATGATTTACCAGTTGGTATACAGAATTATATGAACATGTTTGCTGATGATGCTAAGATAATAGGAAGGATAAGAAATTTAGATGACTGTCATGCCCTTCAAGAAGACCTGGACAAAATAAGTATATGGAGCACCACTTGGCAAATGGAATTTAATGTTAATAAATGTCATGTTATGGAATGTGGAATAGGAGAACATAGACCCCACACAACCTATATATTATGTGAGAAATCTTTAAAGAATTCTGATAAAGAAAGAGATCTAGGAGTGGTTCTAGATAGAAAACTATCACCTGAGGACCACATAAAGAATATTGTGCAAGGAGCCTATGCTATGCTTTCTAACTTCAGAATTGCATTTAAATACATGGATGGCGATATACTAAAGAAATTGTTCATGACTTTTGTTAGGCCAAAGCTAGAATATGCAGCTGTTGTGTGGTGCCCATATCTTAAGAAGCACATCAACAAACTGGAAAAGGTGCAAAGACATGCTACTAAGTGGCTCCCAGAACTGAAGGGCAAGAGCTACGAGGAGAGGTTAGAAGCATTAAATATGCCAAAACTAGAAGACAGAAGAAAAAGAGGTGATATGATCACTACATACAAAATAGTTACAGGAATTGATAAAATCGACAGGGAAGACTTCCTGAGACCTGGAATTTCAAGAACAAGAGGTCATAGATTTAAACTAGCTAAACACAGATGCCGAAGAAATATAAGAAAATTCACCTTCGCAAATAGAGTGGTAGACGGTTGGAACAAGTTAAGTGAGAAGGTGGTGGAGGCCAAGACCGTCAGTAGTTTCAAAGCGTTATATGACAAAGAGTGCTGGGAAGACGGGACACCACGAGCATAGCTCTCATCCTGTAACTACACTTAGGTAATTACACTTAGGTAATTACTCCTGGGTCACACACACACACCACACCCCACACTCCTGGGTCACACACACCCCCCACCCCACACTCCTGGGTCAAACACACCCCCCACCCCACACTCCTGGGTCACACACACACCCCACCCCACATTCCTGGGTCACACACACACCCCCCACCCCACACTCCTGGGTCACACACACACCCCACCCCACACTCCTGGGTCACACACACACCCCCCACCCCACACTCCTGGGTCACACACACACCCCACCCCACCCCACACTCCTGGGTCACACACACACACCCCACCCCACCCCACACTCCTGGGTCACACACACACCCCCCCCCACCCCACACTCCTGGGTCACACACACACCCCCCCCCCCCACCCCACACTCCTGGGTCACACACACACCCCCCCCCCCCCCACACTCCTGGGTCACACACACACCCCCCCCACCCCCACACTCCTGGGTCACACACACACACCCCATACTCCTGGGTCAAACACCCCCCCACCCCACACTCCTGGGTCACACACACCCCCCCACCCCACACTCCTGGGTCACACACACATCCCCCACCCCACACTCCTGGGTCACACACACATCCCCCACCCCACACTCCTGGGTCACACACACATCCCCCACCCCACACTCCTGGGTCACACACACATCCCCCACCCCACACTCCTGGGTCACACACACACCCCCCACCCCACACCCCTGGGTCACACACACCCCCCACCCCACACCCCTGGGTCACACACACACACACCCCACCCCACACTCCTGGGTCACACACACACCCCCCACCCCACCCCACACTCCTGGGTCACACACACCCCCCACCCCACACTCCTGGGTCACACACACACCCCACCCCACACTCCTGGGTCACACACACACCCCACCCCACACTCCTGGGTCAAACACACACCCCCCACCCCACACTCCTGGGTCACACACACCCCCCCCACCCCACACTCCTGGGTCACACACACACACACCCCACCCCACCCCACACTCCTGGGTCAAACACACACCCCCCACCCCACACTCCTGGGTCACACACACCCCCCCCCCACCCCACACTCCTGGGTCACACACACACCCCCCACCCCACACTCCTGGGTCACACACACACCCCACCCCACACTCCTGGGTCACACACCACCCCACCCCACACTCCTGGGTCACACACACACACCCCACCCCACACTCCTGGGTCACACACACACCCCACCCCTCACTCCTGGGTCACACACACCCCCCCACCCCACACTCCTGGGTCACACACACCCCCCCCACCCCACACTCCTGGGTCACACACACACCCCCCCACTCCTGGGTCACACACCCCCACACTCCTGGGTCACACACCCCCCCCACCCCACACTCCTGGGTCACACACACACACCCCACCCCACACTCCTGGGTCACACACACACACCCCACCCCACACTCCTGGGTCACACACACACACCCCACCCCACACTCCTGGGTCACACACACACACCCCACCCCACACTCCTGGGTCACACACACACACCCCACCCCACACTCCTGGGTCACACACACACACCCCACCCCACACACACACACACCCCACCCCACACTCCTGGGTCACACACACACACCCCACCCCACACTCCTGGGTCACACACACACCCCACCCCACCCCACCCCACACTCCTGGGTCACACACACACACCCCACCCCACACTCCTGGGTCACACACACACACCCCACCCCACACTCCTGGGTCACACACACACACCCCACCCCACACTCCTGGGTCACACACACACACCCCACCCCACACTCCTGGGTCACACACACACCCCCACCCCACACTCCTGGGTCACACACACACACCCCACCCCACACTCCTGGGTCACACACACACACCCCACCCCACACTCCTGGGTCACACACACACCCCACCCCACCCCACACTCCTGGGTCACACCACACACCCCACCCCACACTCCTGGGTCACACACCCCCCTACCCCACACTCCTGGGTCACACACACACCCCACCCCACACTCCTGGGTCACACACACACACCCCACCCCACACTCCTGGGTCACACACCCCCCTACCCCACACTCCTGGGTCACACCCCCCCCACTCCACACTCCTGGGTCACACACACCCCCCACTCCACACTCCTGGGTCACACACACACCCCACACTCCTGGGTCACACACACACACACACCCCACACTCCTGGGGGTCACACCCCCCCCCACCCCACACTCCTGGGGTCACACCCCCTCCCCACACTCCTGGGGTCACACCCCCCTCCCCACCTGGGGTCACACCCCCCACCCCACACTCCTGGGGTCACACCCCCCCCCCACCCCACACTCCTGGGGTAACACCCCCCCCCCCCCCACCCCACACTCCTGGGGTAACACCCCCCCCCACCCCACACTCCTGGGTCACACACACCCCCCCACCCCACACTCCTGGGGTCACACCCCCCCCCCACACTCCTGGGTCTTACACACCCCCACCCCACACACACACCTGGGCCACCCCCCCCCCACTCCTGGGCCACCCCCCCCCCACACACACACCTGGGCCACCCCCCACACACACACACCTGGGCCACCCCCCCCCCCACACACACTCACACCTGGGCCACCCTCCCCACACACACACCTGGGCCACCCCCCCCCCACACACACACACCTGGGCCACCCCCCCCCCCACACACACACACACTGGGCCACACCACCCCCCTCCCCCCCACACACACCTGGGCCACACCACCCACCCACACCTGGGCCACACCACCCACCCACACCTGGGCCACCCCCCACACCTGGGCCACCCCCCCACACCTGGGCCACCCCCCCACACCTGGGCCGCCCCCCCACACCTGGGCCGCCCCCCCCACACCTGGGCCACCCCCCCACACCTGGGCCACCCCCCCACACCAGGGCCACCACACACCAGGCCACCCCACACACCAGGGCCACCCCCCCACACCTGGGCCACCCCCCCACACACCAGGGCCACCCCACACACCAGGGCCACCCCCCCACACCTGGGCCACCCCCCCACACCTGGGCCACCCCCCACACCTGGGCCACCCCCCCACACCTGGGCCACCCCCCCACACCTGGGCCACCCCCCACACCTGGGCCACCCCCCACACCTGGGCCACCCCCACACCTGGGCCACCCCCCACACCTGGGCCACCCCCCACACCTGGGCCACCCCCCACACCTGGGCCACCCCCCACACCTGGGCCACCCCCACATCTGGGCCACCCCCCACACCTGGGCCACCCCCACACCTGGGCCACCCCCACACCTGGGCCACCCCCACACCTGGGCCACCCCCACACCTGGGCCACCCCCACACCTGGGCCACCCCCACACCTGGGCCATCCCTACACCTGGGCCACCCCCACACCTGGGCCACCCCCACACCTGGGCCATCCCCCACACCTGGGCCACCCCCACACCTGGGCCACCCCCACACCTGGGCCATCCCCACACCTGGGCCACCCCCACACCTGGGCCACCCCCACACCTGGGCCACCCCCCACACCTGGCCCACATGCCTGTATCATGACAAAAGCTGAACAAGAACTGTATGAATTATCTTCGGTCATAGTGGAAATGAAAATCGATAATAGGACTAACCTGACGTGTTGACTTCAACAACAACAACAACATGTCACAATCATCACACAAAACATCCAACCAGAAAGTAATTATGAGTTAGCTAAATGTCGCTAAATGTAGAACCTGGTGGTCAACGTGGAATGAGCGAGAGCGCGAGTGCAGCAACTCCTCCCCTCACGGTGACTGTAGAGCTACTGGCCAGTCCGTCAGCTGTATGTTGTATATTTGGCAGACAGCTGACGACGCTCAGTTGGCACTTACTCATTGTACCTTATATTTAACGACGTATTATACTAAGTATCACAAACTTTTCAAGTCACTAGCTAATTATGTTGCTTGTTTATCACCTAGACTAACATTCTTAACTCATTTATTATCTCTAAAATAACGATAAAATAGCAAACAAAAACAAAAAAAGTCTGCACCGTGGAACCGGAGTTTCAACCTCCCTGCCTGACAACATCAGCTGACTGCGGTACCGCTATCTTTCGTTGTCGTACTGCACACAATGTCAACTGGAACAACATTAATACATTTTCCAACACTACTCACCAATGTACTAACAGTTACTTTGAAATATGGGGTGTAATATAAAGTTTGAGGCAGCAACATGTTGAGTCAAAATGATGCTTTTCGTTACATGCAGAGGAAAAACAGGCCAAGTTCAGTTAATTTTTGTTCCAATCAATATTACAGTTAGCTGGTCATTGTTATATTATAATGTAGACTGTTTCTTACAGTCTACATTAACTAATAGCATGCGGTGTGAGAACTGCCAAATGCCCATCCACGCCATCACTGTATATACTATCTATATACTGGCGTAAACAACAAGAGAAAGAATAAAATTACCTACTTAAAATTATGTTAGATTAATAGATTAAATACCTGCCTGAAACGCTATGCGTGTTAGTGACTCTACACGAATGTAAAAACATCAATGCAATGTACTCTCATAAACCCATTGTACCTTCTTGTATATAAATAAATAGACACGAATTCATTTAATTTAAATTTAAATTAAATTAATTCGTCAAATTATATAATTGTTCTCGGAAATCAGACATTGATAGCTTTGCTGTGTCTACAAAAACCACCACTTTTGTGACCGAATGTTTACCCAGACATTAATGTTTGGTTATGACAGCCACACATCCAAAGGTTTTACCTCTATAGACATATTAAAAATTGTCTAGTTGACATTTTTCTGATTGACAGATTTGGATTTTTTGATTTGCCAAATTTGGATTTTTTTTGCAGATTTGGATTTTTTGATGATTTGGATTTTTGTTGGTAAATTTGGATTTTTTTTGTTGGCAGATTTAGTTTTTTGGGGGGCAAATTTGGATTTTTGTTGTTGGCGGATTGTAAATTTTGATCGTGGATTTGGATTTTTTGTTAGTGGATCTGTAATTTTTTTGGCAAATGGATTTTTTTATTGGTGGATTTGAAATACTGTACTCTTGTTGGTAGACTTGAATTTTTTGTTGGTGGATTTGGATTTTTTTTGCAAATATGAAGTTTTTTGCAAATATGAAGTACACACACAAATCACAATTGGGTGATGCATCAAATAAACAAATACAGACCGCACCAAATCGGTCATTATGGATTTGTTCATTTGATGCATCACGCTATTGTGATTTGTGTGAAATGAAGAGGTAGAACAACATATGCTCACAGAGCTCGGGTGCATGAGGGAATTGAGTAAATCCCAATTTTACACAATCCCCCCCCCCCCAAAAAAAAAAAAATCGGATTTGGATTTTTATTATTTGCAATTTTTTGTCAGATTTCGATAATTTTGGTTGGCATATTAGGATTTTTTTTTTTTTAGGCAATTTGGAATGTTTATGCTGGCAGATTTCAATTGTTTGATGGCAGATTTGGGTTTCTAATTATTTTGTTGGCAGATTTGGATTTTTTTGCTGGATTTGTTTGCAATTTTTTTTTGGGGGCATATTTGGATTTTGTAGTTGGTCGATTTAAATTTTTCTTGTTGGGTGATTGATTGTTTTATTGGCAGACAAACATTTTGGTGGATTTGGGTTTGCTTTTGTTATTATCAAGATTTTTGCTGTTGGCATATTTCCATTTTTTTTGTTTTTATTTTTTGTTGGCAGCATAGGAATTTTTTGGGGCGGATTTCTGAATTTGTCATCGGATTTAGATTGTTTTCTTGGAATATCTGGATTGCATTGGTCGATTTGTAATTTTTTTGGAGTATGTGCCCTTTTTTGTTGGCAGGTTTGAATTTTTTTTTTTCAGATTTGAAATTTGTTGGCAGATTGGGAATTTTGTGTTGGTTCATTTTTTTTTTTTTTTACATATATTTGAAATTGTGTTGGTGGATTTGGAAATAGTCACTGCTTTTCCCAAAAGCGGTGAAGTTCTGCGGGGAACGAAAACGTTTTACCATCATTTTGTGTAACCGACTAAGTAGCGCACGCGCATCGAGTGGGCTACTTAAACGCGCGTGCGCGAACTCGGCGACCTCTTGCTCGCCAGTATACTACAAAACGGATTTCAACTTTTGTCGTTGGTTGATTTGGCTTTTGTTGTCCGTGGTTTTTTTTTCTGGATTTGTAATCTTTTGTTGGTGGGTTTGGATTTTTTGTTGGCAGATTTAGATTTTTAATTGGTGGAATTGGAATTTGTTTACAGGATATTTTAATTTTTTTTTGCAGACATTTTTTGTTAGCAATTTCAATTTTTTGTTGGTGGACTTCGATTTTTGTTTGCAGATTTGGAAATTTTAGTTGGCATATGTGTAATTTTTTTGTTGGTGCAATTAGAATTTTTGTTGGCAAAGTTGGAATTTTTTCTTTGCAGATTCTCAGAGGAATTCATGGAGTACATACAGATGGTTTATTTAATACAGGTGGAAACCGAGTACCCAGCCACACACAAATAACTTTTTTTTTACTATCAGTAGTTGAATGGAATGATTAGGCAGTGATATGGTGGAGGCCAACTCCATACACAGTTTGAAATGTAGATATGATAGTGCCCAATAGGCTCAGGGATTTGTAGACCAGTTGACTGACAGTTGAGAGGCAGGACCAAAGGGCCAAAGTTCAACCCCCCAGAAGCACAATTAGGCAAGTACCTTGCATCAAGTTATAAGTACACGTATTTACCACATTTGTCATTTTTATTCATATTGCCTTATTTTTTTTCAAATGCAATGATGCATTTGGTTGGCAATAATGTTATTTGTATCACAGAGCTTGTGGAATATTGTACGTACAGATATGTACCTGGATGGGGTTCGAGGAGTTGTTCTACTTGACAAGCCTGGCCCAGGACCAGGCTTGACTTAAGAGAGCTTGGTCTAACGGGCTGTTGCTTGGAGCAGCCTGCAGGCCCACATATCCACCAAAGCCCGGTTGGTCATTTTGATGTCACTATATGTACATGTATTTGCATCACTAATATTCACACAATATTGTATTACATTCTTCGAACAATAAAACTTAGTTTTTGCTATTATTACATAATAAACACACACGCACACAATATCTACATTTTTATGCACCATAATTAACCACTAAGTGTGGAATGACATCCACACACACAGATTACCAGCAGACAACACACGGCAGTTGATGGCACCCATCACAGAAAAATGCCTCCACTGTACTATGCACATCACTAATCTATCCACAGCGTTGCATCTATCAGATTCCTGTTATTAAATCAGGAATCTGAATGATTTTCCATAAGTTTCATGTAACCGTTGCTGTGGGCTGTGAATGTTTGACTCCTGCTCTGTGCTGTGAACATCATAACCAGCATTATGTTCACCGATATCTGAATCTTTTACATATTCTTTATCAGTCAAGACCCTCCATGATACTAAAAATGTAAAATAATCCCAATTATTTATAATTTGTTCATATTAAGTGATGGTGAGAGTTGCAACAGCATGCACTACCCATGGTCACCCTTCTCAATAATGAGGCCCCTCATGCAGGCGATGAGTCACAATAACGTGGCTAAAGTATGTCGACCAGACCACACACTAGAAGGTGAAGGTACAGTCGACACACTAGAAGCTCAAGGTACAGTCCTTGCACCGCTACTGTTCCTTATTCTCATATCTGATATAGACAAAAATACACGCCACAGCTTCGTGTCGTCCTTTGCAGATGACACAAAAATCAGCATGAAAATTACCTCTGCTGAAGACATTGAAAAACTACAAGCAGATGTCAACAAAGTTTTTGATTGGGCAGCAGAAAATAACATGATGTTTAACAGTGATAAATTTCAGATACTCAGGTACGGCAAAAATGAGGATCTGAAACATAATACAGGGTACAAAACACAATCGAATCTTCCCATAGTAGAAAAACAGCATGTCAAGGATTTGGGAATAATGATGTCCGACGATCTAACGTTTAGGGAGCATAACCAAGCAAATATCGCGTCAGCCAGAAAAATGATCGGATGGATTACGAGAACTTTCAAATCCAGGGATCCCATCACAATGGTTGTACTCTTCAAGTCACTTGTACTGTCCCGTCTCGAGTACTGCTCAGTACTCACTTCCCCTTTCAGAGCAGGAGAGATTGCTGAAATAGAGGGAATACAGAGAACATATACGGCACGTATAGACGAGATAAAACACCTAAATTATTGGGATCGTCTCAAAGCTCTCCAAATGTACTCTCTAGAAAGGAGACGAGAGAGATACCAAATAATATACACATGGAAAATACTGGAGGGTCAGGTCCCAAATCTACACAGTAAAATAACAACGTACTGGAGTGAACGATATGGAAGAAAATGCAAGATTGAACCAGTGAAGAGCAGAGGTGCCATCGGCACAATCAGAGAGCACTGTATAAACATCAGGGGTCCGCGGTTGTTCAACGTCCTCCCAGCGAGCATAAGAAATATTGCCGAAACAACCGTGGACATCTTCAAGAGAAAACTGGACGGTTTTCTAAGAGAAGTTCCGGATCAGCCGGGCTGTGGTGGGTACGTGGCCCTGCGGGCCGCTCCAAGCAACAGCCTGGTGGACCAAACTCTCACAAGTCGAGCCTGGCCTCGGGCCGGGCTTGGGGAGTAGAAGAACTCCCAGAACCCCATCAACCAGGTATAAACCAGGTAAGGGACGACGACGTTTCGGTCCGAACTGGACCATTCTCAAGTCGATTGTGACTTGAGAATGGTCCAGGACGGACCGAGACGTCGTCGTCCCTTCACCTTCTAGTGTGTGGTCTGGTCGACATGAAGCCCCTCACACTCAGGAGGGGTGCCCACGATTTTTTCCATGATGGTGTCTATTTACTGGAGGCCTCAGGAAGCAAATGTGAGTGCCGTGTATGTACAGGATTTTTAAATCTTAAAATCTTAGGCAGTACTCTAAATCATCCTGGTTGACTCGTGTAGCATGGTCAGATATGCCACAATTGTCCCAGTTTGATAGGCGCAGCTGAAGAGTTAAAATCACTCGAAAAGAGTGCAGGTTGTGGTAATGTGTCCAAGAAGTGTCTAAGATTGGGAAGAGAAAGAGGAACATGCAGCAGGAAATAAATGCAACATGAACTATTTATCTTGAAAGATACAAGTGGCAGATGAATGAACGTCCATGAAGGAAAACACCCTAGAAGGAAAGTGAGGGACTCAGGATTTTTTTTTTCAAATGGGAGATTATTATTGGAGGTCTGAGAAAGCAATTGTGAGCCCCATGTATGTGCAAGACTTTAAATCTTGAATATTTCCCTAATACTGTACTTCATATGATGGGATATGCAGTCTGAGCATATTTAGCTACCTCATCATATGATGTGATGCACAGCGAAAGGTTAATAATCCAAGACTGTAGTGCAATCCTCATTTCATTTCAAGATTTACATAAGCCAAGGCAGTGTGTATAATGTGCATTCCGTGCCTGTGACTATGTTCACTGCCTGAAGAAAATAAATATGAAATTATTTATATATTTTATTTACATGTCTAATAGTGGGTCTAATGATTTTGCCAATTAAAATTAGATTTATTTTTAGTTACTTCCTCGTTACAAAAAAAAGGAAAAAAAGAAAAAAAAAGTTACCACAGAATTGTGAAAATTAAACTATTTAACCAAATTCAAAAATGGCCTGATAAGTACTGTTGGTAAAGTCAAGTAGCAATACAAGATAAGGACCAATGATCCCATTACAATATCTACAAACCACAACCATGTTCTACTGTGACCAATTACTATATACTGCAGTCACAAACTACTTTACACCACTGTTACAACAACTATTACATGCACAACAAAATTAAATGTGTGTGAATATTATACAGTTCTAAAATATTATTATTTAACAATACTATAAACGAGTTTTCTTACCGACAGGCATCACAATGAAAAAATAATTACATATTCTATCAAATGTAACCATATCAAGTACTGTATTAGAGCAATGTGCAAGTAATCTTATCCAGTATTAAGCTGTGTTTAAAAAATATTCCTTACTTGAAATACTAAAGCTATTAAAATTTGTAATCTCATTCTAGTATGTAATACAGCCTAGTGTATACCACCTCAACAAACATTACATCATCTTATTTTTCCTGTAATTAAAAACTTTTTCCATTCTTGCTATATATAAAATTTTATATCATTAACTTTAGTGTACATTTAGGCTTCCTCTTCCTCTCCATTGATAATATGCTTGAAAGTGAGAGGCTGAAAGGCATAACCTTCTCCTTTGTAGAACTTTGACTGGAACTCCACCCTGAAAAAACCAGTACATATATTTTTTAATTTCACGTGAGAAAGTGTCTAAAAACTAAACACGTCTGAGTTACATAAGCCTGCAAAGACAAAATAGACCAAATAAGGCTGTGTGAGCGTATCAACTAATGGTTACAAAAAGGAATATAGCAAATGGATACATATGACAGCCAGGAACAATGGTGGATAATGAATGATATCACTCAAACTTGCATAAACAGTCAAGTTGTTGTTTCAAATGAATCTGTTCTTGTAATGCAAGCTAACTCCTGGCCAGATCATCCAGCGTCGTAATCATTATATATACAATAAATATGATGCAAACACGTAATTTATGGCAAATTTATCTTAAATACTTGATTTTCAATCAAACATTTGTACCTTGTTAAAAATGAGCGAGATATTGATTAGGAGAGAAATCCTGTTTTTATTGCATATTTTGATGTTTCAGCCAGATTAGAGCTGGTTTACGTGTACATCTTCTTTCGGTAATATATGCGGAAAATCAGGAACATTACATCATAAAATACAGGTCATAAAATCAGACCTGTATGTGTATAAATAAACTCCGAACACCGAGGTAAACAATGAGTACCGAATTGAATTTTTCAAAGAAATTGAGCTCGAGCACCGAAAAATACAAAAACGGGCATATGAAAACCGAGGTTCCACTGTATTTCTTATTCTGAACTCGCTGGGATGTTGAACAACCATGAACCTTTAATGTTCATAAAGTGTTCTCTGGTTGTGCCTCTGGCACCCCTGTTCTTCACTGGTTCTATTCTGCATTTTCTTCCATGTCGTTCACTCCAGTATGTTGTTACTATATGTGTAGATTTGTTCTCTGGAATTTGTAAGGTGTCTGGTTCTCCGAAGATTTAATTTTGCACAAACACTTTGGAACTGTTCGTTTAATGTTTCAGACATTTCCTCCCTCTTCATTTTTTCTGAATTTGTTTCCTACTTTCAACCTCTGAATATTATCCTTTATCTTCAATTTGCTTTTAATGAATTTATAGAATAGGCCTGGTTCTGTTTTACATTTGTCCACTATCCCTTTCTAAAAATTTATTTCTGCCTCGCTTTTCACTGCCATGTAGTTATTTCGTGCTTCTATGTATCGCTGGTATGTTTGGGGGTTTAGTCTCTTCCTACATTGATTCACCTTTTGTGACTCTTGGTCTCTGGCCTTCTAGCAATTTCTGTTGAACCCATCCTGTTTCCTAGTTCTGCATCTCTGTTTTGGTATACATTTTTTGTGCGCCTTAATTCATGCATGTGTGTTTTATTAGCCAATATTAATAACACTCTCATTAATAATCTTACCAGTGAAGGCGGAGTGTGTGAAGGAAGGCTGACAAACCCTCCATAAGCACTAGGATACTGATGGTCAGGACTGCCCAGGCAGCAAATATCAGATACAGTATGATGCTTCCTACAATTGATGACTGAAAAAATGGAAAAATATATTAATGCACTGTAATGCTTAATATTCAAATCGATATTTAATTTGTAGCGAGTAAACTTATACTCGCTCCATTATCTCATCATCTTAATGGCATAACTAATTAACACTAACTACACAAGCTATAATCCTAGCCCTATTTACAGGTAACGGTTTTTCCACCCTTCTATCTTATTGTGAGGTATAGTCACCGTATTTGAGCAAGCCATTTGAGAATAGCAAACATTACAATTTCCAGTCAAGAATGTAGCACTCGGCATAGGCAGTTCTAATCGACCCAAGACGCTACAGTTTCGACACAGCAGACTACGACCCCATCGAGCTACAATGCTCTCGCTCCCCGAGTTCAGACACTCGTAATTCCCAACCCAGCCACCACGCTCTCCGACATAGAGCTCCGTGACTCCGGCCTCACTCAGCTCTGCTCTGCTCTGCTCCAAGCTCCGTCTGAACGTTTACAACTGTTACAACCCTGGGTTCCTCAGTGGAAACCAGAGGTCAAAAATGAGCTAAATAAACTGCCTTTTAGTATGGGAAACGCATCACGATGTGTCTTTGTTCGTATCTTCCCTGCCAGACGTAAGACGATTCTTGTTTCTCACAGAGCATTTAAAGACTGAGCTTGGGGTTGATTATTAAAGAATAAAATAGGCAACAACTATGGTTACTAATACTTTCTAATCAAGTGTAAAGTAAATCTGAGTAAACTTGGGATAGGATTGCTGTGCGATTAGTTGAGCAGTCTACTGGCAGTGAGTGAGCTGGGAAGGAGATGCGAGAGTCTCTCTTCTCTGCTGGCTGGCTGTGGTGAAAGGAACCGCCTCTCCCTCCTCTCGTTTCTTTATTTCTGTGGGCTAATACCCAGCTAAGTATACTGTGTAACGTTCTCATTGTCTGGCATAGGCGTGTTCTAAGGTGTAGAGTATTATACTTTGTATGAATTAGGTGTTCCTAGTGTTTGTATTACTAGTTATTCTAAAAGGGGTCCCAGTGGAACCACGTGGTCTCCCTACCCTAAGCTGACTCAAGCTTCTAGCTCTTCACTAGTAGTACTTTACCCAAGCTTGTTCTGAGTGTAGACCTTGTACCCTGCTTAAGTGGACCAAGGCTTTTAACGTAAGATAGTGTGGTAAAGTAATTATTATTATTGGTGTGAATGTATATGGGGGGTTGTTAAGGGGTTAATAAATAAGTAAGTTAGTAAAGGAGTATCCATTTTTCCTATGTAGGAGATCCATGATCAACCTCTAGGCTGACTATTGCTGTAATAAGCCACTACAAGCTTATTTCTATATAGTGGGGGCCGGGCCATTGAGATCTCCCATATTTGATAACCCTTAATGCTAACTACTGCCCCTACATCCATTTAATATTAGATCCCCCATAGCAAGCCCACCAATTTTATAACAACGACAATGCCACCAACCGACTACTGCAATCAAGACTACTAAATAAATATGAAAATTCACTAAACAATGTGTGTCTAATCTACCCAACAACGTAACTTAAACGTACGTTACAAATTACTACTTCCAATCTAAATCTATGTTAATCTCTCTCTCGTCTCTGGGCTGAGCACATGTTATTAGTAGACAACCCTGTGGTGTGAAAAAAAATTTATCTGAAAAAATTTGATTTTCTTTTGACATTGTTAACCCTAAAATAGCACAAATCCTATATACATGATTTTGGTCTAACTCCTTGCACAGCGCATATCATATATATACTGTACATACATTTGAAAGTACTATGTAAGATTTTAATGTCCCGCAACTATACAGGGTTCATATCAGCTTCCTCGGGGCTCGAGTAAACAGATGCCCCTCTCTCTCCCTCCCTCCCTCCCCCTCCCTCCCTTCCTCTCTCTCCCCTTCCTCTCTCTCCCCTCCCTCTCTCTCCCTCTCTCTCTCTCTCCCC